GAACAGTGCTGGGGAATTGGGGGAAGGGGAACAGACAAGTTGCTGTCCTTTTGTTCTTCAATCTAGTTGTGAAGGATGTTGCTTCACTGGCCCAAGTTGGCACCATCATTGCGCTCTTCCCTGGCAAGGCAGATCAGTCGCCGGCTTCTGGACAGCCACTCACTGCAGCTGCTGGCTGCTCACGCTGACTGCTGGCTACAACCAGTAGCCCATAGCAACCCACTGCCACAGGGGCTGCAGCCTACGCCGTCGCTAACGACTCACGGCAGCCCAGCTCCAGGTTGAGCTGCCATTTACCATCGTAGCTGTAGAGGGCAGTGTCACTGGCCCTCATATGTGGGATCCGAACCGGGGCCCTCTGGCATCCCAAGCGAGTTCTTAACCATCGCGCCACTTGGCCGGCCCCCAAGCCAACTCTTAATCAACGCACCACTCGGCCGGCCCCAAGATTTGACACTTTTTAAACTCACTAAATTGCTAAGTAACTAAGAGTCAACTGCCCCTTAAAAAAATCAGTTCATGGATGAAAATAATGTGACCTAGAAGTAGCTTCAGAAAACTTTCCAAAGAATTTGTTGAAATTGAAGAGGAGGCAGAAACACAAGGACTCTTATCTGCTCTGCCATAGCTCAACCTTTCAAGGCCACTTCCCTTCCAAGGTTCCGGATCTGCCCTGGGAGGCATGAGGCAGCCACAACCTGCAAGTCACCTCCTTGGAATGAAGTCCGGGTATCACCGCCACCAGGAGAGACAGCAGGACCAGGAGAGACCAAGGTCAAGCTCTGCCTGCCCCTTGGCTGTGGTTCTCACACATCTAGCTGGGATCTGTTGAAAGTTTTTGTGACTATTAATGGGATGTCTATGGCACAGATTAGTTTGTTACAGGTTTCAGATCAGCCATGTGGTAGACAATCTCGAACAAATGAGCACTGCAGGAAAGAGGTGCTCTTTCTAATTATGCTCCAGGCACACTGGCCCACCTGAAATGATGACTAAAGAACACGGCCACTTGAAAAAAAAAATTGGTACACTGAAATCAAAGGGCAAATGGCTGTTGTGCCCAAAGGAGATGAAAAACATAGGCACTAAACCTCCATGACTGACCTTGACAAATAATTAACTAAAGCAGTTGTTTCTCTGGGAAACTGGTCATCTCACACTGAGAAAAAAAAAGTGAGGAAAAAAAAAAGAGAGAGAGATACAGATTTACTCCATCCTGGACAGGTGGGACAGAGGTCAAAACCACAATCAGCCTCGCTACCCCTTACAGCCTGCTTACCTCAGAGAAGAGCCTATCCATGGTGGTTTCCTGGGCAATTTTATTTTTGCTAAAATGTAGACATTTATAAGAACCAAATGATGAGGATGGGACCAAATAGGTCAGAGATGTTGACAGCCTTTAAAAACTAAAGAAACTATTAAGGATGGTGATCACTTTCCAAGGTATATAAATGTATAATTACTATGTTGTACACCCGAAACTAATATAATGTTGTGCATCAACTATAATTGAAAAATAAATTTAAAAAAAAATAAAAGCTGTTAGTGAAAGCAGAGACCAATCCCTTCGGCAAAATGGTACTAGTTCCATGCTCACTTCTCGTCACAGCCCCAAAAGCTAAGTCCCAGCCGTTTACCCTAAACTTGGTATCATGGCCGACCTTCTTTTCTGAGGTAATGTCTATAAATCTTGGCATCCACTATGCTTTTGCACCACATGTCAGCTATTAGCAATGGCATTCTTCCTGACAGCTAATTGGTAACATTAAAGAAAAGAAATTAAAAGCATTATACTTGCTAAGTCATTTTACACCATTAACTGCAACAAGTATTTTATGGGGACATGGCACTGCCTGGGAATCAAAGGGACATGCTTTTCGCCATTTGCCAGTAAAATGAAAAATGTGGTGAAAATGAAACCCATACCTTGGCTTTACTTACACGACAGCTGAATTAGTGATACTTCCTGTGCCAGAAGATTCTCTCCAAGCAGCACTCATGCTAAGGCAGGAAGACCTCTAGAAAGCCCCCCATCTCCCCAGAGTCTGGACCGGTGGTGGCCCTGCTTTGCCCTTTGCCCTTTGCCCCTTACCTTTCATTTTGGTTGTGTAAAATCCAACGGCCGCTCCATCTCGCCACAGAATCTTAGCCTCCTCCTTCACAGAGTGAGGTAAAAAAAACATGTCATCATCATCCAATTTTCTCTCCAATCCTCCAAAAATAACGACATTTAGAATGAAAAGCACAATCCTTTCCCCAAATGACTGAACCTTTGAAGAAAAAAAAAAAAAAAAAAAAGAACAACTGAGTGAGACGAGAGAGGAAAATCAGATGTGATAAATTTTGCGCTTGGAATCGCCCCACATGTCGGAGCCAGGTGTGTGCTCCACGGTCACATGGTTCTTCTCGTGCTCAAGCGCCAAAATGTGAATCACAGTTTCTCACAGAGGTTTCCACGCCCGTGACATTTCACACCCATCAGCCTCCAGGGTGAGGGGCAGTGCCAGAGGGGCCTCTTGGGTCCCCAGGGCCACAGACGCGGAATATAAGTAGACAGAGATCATATCACGAAAGAGGAAGTTCCTTCACGGGAAGCGAGGCAAGGTATTTTGGCAGATTTGCTGGATGTGTCCAGAAATAAACCCAATCCGCCATTTTTAACAACAGCCCCAGGATTCTGGCCCTCAAAAGGAGGGTAAAAAATTGGGGTAATCAATTGCTACACCAAAAGCCACTGATTTTCCACGGCTTGTGATAGCTTTTAAGCACACACGAGTCCCAATCCCAGAAGATTCCTGGAACTCAAGGCCCTTCCCGTTCCCGTCCATAGAACTGACTCTCACCCATAGCAAAGGCAGGACAAATGAAGAAAATGTATGTGGTCAATGTCAGGCTCACCCAGAGCTTTCTCTCCTGAACAAGTCGAAGTGACTTCATGCTTCTGCCTGTTAGTTCTCTGCATCTGTCTAGTCCCCGGATGGCACATAGGTGGCATGAATGGAGCCCTCCCATTCCCATGCCCCCCGCAGACATAGCTAATCAATCTGGACTCTAAGTGGCTGAGCCTGGAGGGTCTCAAAGCCCTCCTGATTGCAGTCCTCTGCACAGCTCCAAGGAGTTGCTGAAATGTGGTCCTTGAGATGAAACCAATCCACTACTGACAAAGTGTCAGTACCACTGTATTGGATTTCACTCCGACAGCACTGATCTATGACAGCCGAGGTGTGCAGCTGTTTGTCACCCCATTCTATGCACCCCCATGAGAGCAGCAGTCCCACTTCTGGGCTGTGACTTCCACCCACATGCCGCCATTCGATTCTCACCAGCTGCCGGAGAGGTCCAGCCAGCCGTTGTAGGTGAGGAAGTCAAAGCTCAAGGAGGGTAAGTGATTGCATTTATTGATTTTCCTGCCTCACTCCAAAGAGGACTTGTGACAGCTGGAGGAGGGCTCTGTCAGGGGCAGGCAGGCTTAAAACAACAGGCCAGGGCTACTGAGGACCAAGCCAGCACACCTGCCCAAGCCCTGCCGGCAGCTCCCTCCTGAATCTTTATCCACTGGAACCAGGACTTTGGGAAAGGGAAGCTTCATATAAATATGAACGCTTGGTTTTATATTTAACACTTGACCCTTACATTTGTATCATCATCATTGCTTCTCAGCCTAGATTTGCTGGGAGAAGTTCAGCAACTCATAACCACTCTGAGCCTCAGTTTCCTTTGCTGGTCAAGGGAAAAGGCCACCTAAGTGGTCTCTGAAACATTTGTACAGTTTTCAACTGCTCTGATAATAAAAATAAGGCAGCTTGCAGCATCCTAGCAAATGGCACAAAGTGTTCAGTGCCAACAAACTTATTAATTGGCCCAGAATGTAAAATATTTCACCTTCATCTGCCGCCAAATCTTAGATGAAGAAAAGATTTGTGAACAGCACCCCAGCTAACTCTGAGAAGCCACCTCAATTTTGAATCTCAGACAGTGGCAGCCAAATCAAGTTCAGGCTTTAAGAATAATGAGCTAGTCACAAAACCTGATTGCTGTGATGGGGGAGGTTATAATTGTCAACTTATAAAACCAAAAAGTTCAGAGGAAAGCCAGAAGAGAAAAGCAGATTGCATCTGGCAGAAGGGAAATATCCAATCAAAAACTGGCAGGAGAAAAGGAGAAAGAGAAAATGCACTTAATGTGTCCAATTTCATTATGTGGGAGTCAGGGGTGGGAGATGTATGACATGTGATTCTGACTTAGAAACGTTTCTGAAAACAAAACTAAAATCCAGTTCTAATCCCTCAATGAGGACCACTAATTATGTTAACAGAAAGAGCATTAAGAAAGCTTTTTTTTTTTTTTTTGGTAATTTGTGAAGAAGAGCTGGCTAAGAAACAAAATGTAATTAAAAGAAAAGGAAAGTCAACGCCCAGTTCTATAAAAGGAGCAGGAAACTAACCCCATATACACCCGGGGCAGGACAGAGCTTTATAACACAGCTCTTTAAGTGGGAAGAACAGCCATTTTCTTAGTATTCACAACACAGGCCATGTATTCAAAAAAAATGTGGGCGTTTTCCCCCTCTAAATTTAGAAGAATTGACACACAAAGGAAGTGACCACTCTTGTTCTGAAAGAAAGAAAAAAAAAAAAGAAAGAAATTGAAAAAGCAAATCAGACTATTCCTACCATCAGAACACCAGCCACTAAGTACCGCCTGGCACACCTACAAAAAGGGGCCGGACAGCCACACACACAGGTACATCATCCCCACTGGTCCCGTCAGGCTCAGCTGCTGACTGCATCGTTAATTTGCTGGATCCTCCCTCACATCCACCAAAGGGAACCGGCCCTGCTGACCCTTTGACCTCAGACTTCCAGCCTCCTGGACTGTGAGACAAGGCATTTCTGTTGTTTTAAGCCCCCCAGTGTGCGGTGCTCCTTAGTGCAGTCCTAGAAAACGAATCCACAGGGGTAGACTGCTTTGAATTGTTAACATGATAATAAGTATGGTGACTTGTTTTGCAATGTCTGTTTAAAATGACATCATCTCACCTTCATCAGACCTTCTCGTGCAGGATCCGAGGTTCTCAGTACATCTTCGGGGGACCACCAGGACTCCTTTATGTAAACAGCCACGACTAGAGAGAAAGCCAAGAGAAAATGGTGATATGCACACAGCCCACCGGCCACCGGAGGGGCGGTGCCAACAGCACACAGCCACTATCAAGGGGCAAAGGAAAGATGACGTGTGGTTACAGCCAGTGGTATTTCTAGAGCTGAAGTTTCCTGAGAGCCTGACCAGAGAGAGTGACCACTCTCCCCTGAAGGGGATGTCCCCAATGTCTGCACTGATGGCCCATCATTGACCCCAAAACAGGATGTACCCTAATGCTGCTGAACAAAAAGAACTCCATGCCCATGGTGACAAATTCAGTGCATAAGAATGACTTTTTTTTTTCAAAGTCGCCACAACTCAGACCTCCCCAAATTTAGTCACATCCAGCATTATCTAAGGGTATCAAGTGAGCCCCAGTATGATCACCCACCAGACTGGTGATTTCTAACAACAGATGGACCTGTTGACATGTCATCATCACCCCAAGTCCATGGTTTACATGAGGATCATTCTCAGTGGTGTACATCCTATGTGTTTGGGCAAATGTATGACATAGGTCCATCCATCATTAGCTTATCATACAGAGTAGTTTCATTGCACTAAAAATCCTCTGTGCCCCCTCCCCCAACCCCTGGCAAGCACTGACCTGTTTACTGTCTCCATAATTTTGCCCTTTCCAGAATGTCACGTGGTCGAAATCATACAGTACGCAGACTTTTCAGACTGACTCTTTACCTTAGTGACATGCAGTCACAGTTCCTCCCTATCTTTTCATGACCTAATATTGCAAAATTCTTTTTGGTGCTGAATACTATTTTATCGAATGAATGTACCAGTTTACTTCTGGTATGTTCTTTAAATGCCTTTTCTTGCCATTTCTATACCTGCTTCTCAAGTCAAGTATCTGAGCCCAAAGGGTCCATGAGCCACAAAATTAAAAAATGCATCTTCCCAGTCAGACCCTTTTAGCTAAAGGCTGGGAGGGAAGTGATAGCGGTGGTGCAGAAAAGTCATTTGAAAATTTAATATGAATTTTGTGAGCCCGTCAGGTTAAGCTACCCCTACTACTCTCTTCCCTATTCCTCTCTGCTCTTTGAGGATCTCTAGTAGAAAACCCTGTGAAGACCAGGTGACAATGACATTCGCCAGTTATTAGACACTAACTCTGCACAGCCAGCCCCTCCTCTCCAAAGACCAACAAACAGCATCTAATCCACTGTGTCAGTTCCATATCATCGGTGAATTAATTATTTCATCTCCAACAATAGTCCCCAAATTGATAGAGCTGGCTGGGAGAGAGGGCCAATTAAACGCTTGACATCTGCCTTATTAATTCAACTACATTCATGTTCAGAATGGCACCTACTAGAACGTACAGGAGGTTTATAAAGCCATAAGGATTATTTTCTTGCCTAACAAGGTGAATCAATGAAAGATGTTCAATTGACTAAGACAGTTTCAAACAGGAAGGGTCTTATGACTTGGTGTTTGTGTGGTGCCTTGCAAGTTTCATGGTGCAGGGCAGAGCATTAATTAGTCACACAAGTTGTCACCCCATAGACTAAACTGCTTTTTTCAAACTCATCTTAAGCTGCTACAGAACAATGAAGGTGAAGTCCAATCAAATTTAACAGGCCTAAAATAAACTGGCCTCAAACTAATTCTTGAAAACTAGGATCAGCCTTGTGGAGACAGGTAGCTTTTGATAAAAAAAGCATGATACCTAGTCAAGAGGAAACAGGATGAAGGAATGGTGACATGGCCCGTGGAGAGAGGCTGTCCCCAGCTAGGCAAGGACAAAGGGCAGATCCTGGGGGCAGACAGGAGATGCAGAACCGGCCTCAGGGCATCACTTCTGAGCCCTGGGAGTCAGTGAGATTCGAGGGTTAGAAAACGGAAAGCAAACATCCATGGCTTTGAAAGAAAAATAGAGCCCTGGTCAGTATTCTCGGGCTTTCCACCCTCCGGGGCCTGAGCAGAGAGACTGGCCCCCCTGCAGAAGGCCGTGAGGTGGTGACCACAATCCATGGGCACTGGTTGTTAGTTAGGTCAGCCTCGCTGAACTGAACTTCTGTCTCCCTCTGAGTGACGGGTGATATGGACCACAGAAAAGGTGTCAGTAATGGATTTTATTCTATGACACCCCAAGGTTTCCCAAACAAGTTAAGACAGTGCGGTCCCTAAGGCTAATTCCCAGTGACCTGGCTTCATCGAGGCTCAGCATGATCAACTGAATTCAACTTCCTGAATGCATGAATGGCACTGTCCTGGGCCCCAGAGGCTAAGGAGTAAGTCTCCATCCATGCCCCTGGGAGCTGGCAGTCTGGAGAGGAAGAGAGGCCAAAACAGGCTGCTCCAATATGAGGTAGGGCATGAGAGGTGCTGGAGTTGAGTGGGGAGCTCAATTGATCCCAGAAGAGGGAATCAATTCTGCTGAGGGGTATTGGAAAAGCATCCCTGGGGAGTTCCACCAACTTGGGCTCAGGCATCACTGGGTACGGTTTCGACAGGCGAGGGCACTACAGGCATCATAACCTGTGAGCAGAGAGGCACAGAGCCCTACAAGTCCAAGGTCCCACTCAGGGCATCCCAAGCAGCAGGGGTATCTGGGCGAGGCCTACGCAAGGGGGACAGGGCTGCAAACATTGAGTATAGCAAGGTAGCAGGATACAAGGCTAATATACAAAAGCCAATCGCTTTCTTACATCCCACCAATGAACAAGTAGAAGCTGATATTAAAAACCCAATGCCATTTACACCAGCACCCCCAAAAATGAAATACTTTGGAAATCTCACAAAATATGTACAAGATGTATATGAGGAAAATTTAAAAACTCTGATGAACGAAATCAAAGAACTAACTAAATCAAGAGCTATTTCATGTGCATGCAGACTCAATATTGTCACGATTGATGTCAGTCCTTCCCGAGTTGATCTATAGATTCAACGCAAAGTCAACCAAAATCCCAACACATTATTTTGTGAGTAGCAACAAACTGATCCTGAAGTTTACATGGAGAAGCAAAAGACCCAGAATGGCCAACACAATATTGAAGGAGAACCAATGTGGAGGACTAATGCTACCCAACTTCAAGACTTACTATAAAGTCACAGTAATCAAGACCAGGTTGTACAGTCAAAATTAGACAAACAGATCAACAGAACAGGATGGAGAGCCCAGAAACAGACTCGCATGGATATATTGAACTTATCTGTGACAAAGGAGCAAATATAATACAAGGGAACAAAAACAGTCTTCAACAAGTAGTGCTGAACAACTGGACATCCACACATATAACAATCAACCTAGACACAGGCCATACACCCTTCACACACACCAGCTGAACAAAACATCAGCTTCGTTTCTTCACCCGTCTCCAATGAGCTTAAGTGCTGAGGGAGAGCAAGATGACATAGAGCATTTTAGACATAGCCCGGATGTACCTGGTGTGGGGGAATAATCGACTCCAGAGACAGACAGGGTTCAAATTCAGCTTCTCCAATTTCTAGCTCTGTGACTTTAACCGCCTCCCCAGCCTTGAGTCCCCACCTGTCAAATGAAGACCACATCCTCTCACCTGGTCATTATGCAGGTGGGGGAAAAGAGTTCACCTCCCCAAGCTGCATTTCCTAAGGTATCTGAAGCTTTTCAGTGGTTTCCAGAAACCTCCTCCATCTGCTTCAGGTGTTGCTCTGGGACTTCAAAGAAACACGAAAAGCCCTTTGTTGTTTGTTGGGCTTTTGTCAAGGAAACAAGGAAACTGCCTCGTAGCACTCCCATTTCTTCCTGGGAGCTGGCTCCCTTTCCAAACTTTCTGCTCGGGTTTGCATGGGAATGTCTGTCTTTCTCTCACAGCTTGATCACTGCCATCTGTCTGCTCCCTCCAGGGGATACAGCTTCTACCCACATTTTCTCATGACCGTTCCTCTTCCGATTAGGGAGCCTTAAGCCGACCCTTATGTTCCCCTCTTTCTCTTCTCAAGGCTGTGGACACACCTCATGCCTAATTAAGGTTCCTACTTTAACCTGTCCAAAACCTCCCAACATTTTGAAACCTTTCATCTTGCCTAAGATTTCTTCAAGAAGCTAAATCCTTTTTTATTTAAACTTTTCTTTTTTTTAAAGATTTTATGGGGCAATTGGGGGAGGGGAACAGCATTGGGGAATCGGGGAAGGGGAACAGACAAGTTGCTGTGCTTTTGTTCTTCAGTCTAGTTGTGGAGGACATCGCTTCACTGGACCATGTTGGTATTATCATTGCGGTCTTCCCGGGTGAGGCAGATCGGTCGCCGGCCTCTGGAAAGCCACTCACGGCAGCTCTTGGCAGCTCACACCGGCTGCTGGCCACTCACACTGGTTGCTGGCCACACACGGTAGCTTATGGCAGCCCCCTGCAGCAGGGGCTGCAGCCTACGCCATCACCAGCGATTCACGGCAGCCCAGCTCCAGGTGGAGCTGTTGTTCACCATCTTAGCTGTAGAGGGCGCAGTGTCACTGGCCCTCATATGTGGGATCCGAACCGGGGCCCTGCTGCTCAGAGCTGGTGTCCCCAGTCAGCTCTTAACCAACGCGCCACTCGGCTGGCCCTAAACATTTTTAATCAATAAACAAAACAATAATTTTTGTGAACGTTAGCATAATTTTTCCATAGCATGGGTCAGGGTAAGCTGATTGTCCCCTCAGACGGATGGGCTGTGACAGCAGGGAGCGGCCCTGAGAAGGATTTTGAGGCCACAACCCGACTCAGCAGGGAGGAGCACTGTGACGGATCAGCACCATCCAGCTGGGGGAAGAGGGCACACGTGGCTGTGCTTGCCACCCATCTCACCTGCCCCAGCACGGCGGGCAGTCAGAGCCACCAAAGTGGCACCTGGACCCTCCAGAGGTCACAGTTCTGAGGCAGTCTACCCACATGTTGAGTAGGTAATAAGTGCAGAGCACATAATAAATCCACTCAGGGAACTAAATTTAGACTCTGGCTTAAGACACTTACAACTCAGGAGACAGCACCTGGGACAGGA